TGCTCTTGGGGCATCGCACGTCACACCCTCCTTCTCCACTCCACGCTATGACCTGGGCCACGGGTGTAGAGAGGGCTCCGTTTGCCCATCCTCATAAGGCTCGGTGCTGCCCACAGGCTGTCAAAGCCCATCCTGGGCTGACCCCCATGGACTCCTGTAAGTCCATGTATATGTTTGGTACACCTGCTTTCCACTGGTGTCTGGAGGCTCACAGTCTGCACCATCCACAGGCCCCTCCTCCTGGTCATTCTACCCACTAGAAACAATTAATCCCTGGCTCCTCTGAAAAACCTCTAACAGGCCTGAGACACAGGCCTTGCCAAACTTCTGTTTATAATATTTAGGGCTGCACTCCAGAGCCATGTCAAATGTATTGGGCCTTCTCATAACCCACAGGATTCACTCAGAGCCCACAATTGTGGCCTTGGAACACTGGATTATTTCCGTGGTTAGTTTCAGTTCTTGTCTCCCATCAGTTTTGCAGTTGCCTGAAGAGATGCCCCAAAGCTGTCTGTTTATGTCTTGAAGGCTGTGTGAGCTTCTTCCCGTGGAGTGGGCGAAGGGTCCTTTCTGAGCTGAGGCCGGCACATCCACCTCCACAGCTCGGGAAGGCATCTCGCTCAGACTTGTAGCAGCTTTCAAAAACCCACTTAGCCTTTCAAAAGCCCCGGCAACCTATTGGGTTTATCCAGGCACACTCCTTGCCCATTCTTCGGTTTGCCACCCTCTCTCTGTGAAGAGAGAGCACGGTTCTCTCTCCACAAAGCCTGGAAAATCCTGGAGCAAGACAGCCGGACAGAGAGGAGGGGAGTCTTGTGAAATTCTCTTTGAAACCCTTTCTTCTCTGGATTTTCCTCTTCCCTTCCCCTTCTCCTACCTGAAGAGGGCCCCAAAGAGTTCAGAACACAGAATTTCAAGGCTGGAGGAACCTTAGAGATCCATCTTGTAGTAATGGTACATCTTCTAATAATGGCAGCAAACGCATGTATGGTGCTTGCTCCATGCTGGCCACCATCCTGTCGATGCAGGTAATCCATAACCAATCTATAAATCGGAATTGGGGTGAGTTTATTCTGAGCTAAAATGTGAGGACCATATAGCCTGGGAGAGTCCTTCCACAAAGAAACAGAGCATTCCAAAGAAGTGAGGGTGTACGGGGTGGTTATATACCCTCAAAGAGGATATTTCACGTATGATTGAAATATCCCTTTTACAGTAGTCACAAGATTGCCCTGTCAGCACAGCGATTGAGGGACACAGCAGGTAGTAGGTCTGCTGTCTTGGTGGGTGCAGCAGGAAGCAAGTCTGTTGTCTTGAGCTGGGTGGTCACAGGTGAGCACAGTAATAAATTCCTACTCTAGGGAAAGATGCTTATCCTTAAGGAAATGTCAATGTGGGGAGAAACTTGCACCTTTATCTTAAGGGTCTTTGTTTTTGCCATAGGAAATGTTTAAAGCAGATATATAATGCATGCTCAATGGCCATGTCAGGCCCTTTTGGAAAAACAAAGTCAGGCTGAATTAGGTTTACACCAAGTGGCTTCCTCGTATACTCCAACATATCCTATTGCTTGCCATTTCTATTCGTCAATCCTTAGTGCTGTAAGAAGTGCGTCATCTTCACAGCAGCCCTACAAAGTACTACACTCTGAGGAGACCAAGCCTCCAAGAAGCTAAGCGCCTTGCCCAGGGTCATTTACACAGCTAGGAAGTAGGGGGCTCCAGTGCCCACAGCCTGAATCATCAGGCTAGACCACTGCTCTGCAGAGAATGTTCCACAAGGCCAAAGAGAGGAAGTCGGTTGCCCTGGGTCACCAGCTATTAGGCAGAACAGGAAGCTCTCCTATCTCCTGCCTTTGAGCAATGTGCAAAGAGTGTGGGCTTAAAGAGCTAGAGTTTCAATAAGAATCTCTTTCATTACGGATCCCTACTATGGTCCAGGGACTGTGCTAAGTGCTGGTCCCTTACGAAAGCTTTGAAGTGGGTGCTGTTGGCGTTCCCAGTATGCAGATAAGGAAAACCGAACTTCCGAAAGTGGTTCAGGAGGCGTCTTATGCTGTACTGTAGGGTGGTTGTTTAAAGATAGCTATATTTTACAAAGATGATACACAGGCTCATTACATCTTATCTTTTTCCAAGATAGCTATAAAATAGCCACTGTCCATTGAGTGCCTATAATTATTCTCAGATTCTCCCAACAGGCCCAAAAGGTGAATATTGTTATCTTTATTTTCCAGGTGAGGAAACTGAGGCTTTTAAATATTGAGTATAGTACCCTAGGAGACTTGGGAAGTGGCAGGGTGAAGAGTTAAGTCTGAATATGTCCAATTCCAAAGTCTAAGCTCTTTTGGCCATCTACTACAAGGACAGACACGCACACATGCGCATGCACACGCACGCCCCCCACACTGTGTTGTTTATGGTCCTTATATTCTAAGAATTGGGGTAGAGAAAGGGGCCAGACCTTCGGGAAGGCATGGCGCTCTTCTGCCTTGAGGGGACAGACTTTGGTCCCTATAGAAGTGTACCCATGGGAGTTCCATATGCACCCCTCTCTGTCCCCAAATTCCTCTCCTATCCGAGAGAACAGTCAGCCCCCCAGCAGTTGCCCAAGTAATATTTTAGGGTTTTTTTGTACACACTGAATTCACTGAGGCAAGATTTCTTTTCATAACTGTCTGAGGCCCCAGTCCCAGGATCTCTGAATTTGCCTACACCCACAACCGCAAAGGAAATGGAGAGAACTCAAGAAAATTTTGAATCTGTTTGTGAGCCGGTCTAGAGCAATTCTGAGGGCAGAGTGGAAATTCTCAAAGTCTGGTGGGTGAATTGTTGGAGGAAAGGTCCACCAGGGCATGGGGAGAGAGGAGGGGGAGCGAAGCGAAGGGGAAGATGGAGGAGTTAAAGAACTCAGCAAAGGCTGCGGCATGCACTGGGGCACTCAGTTATCTTCCTAAAACCTTATGGGGAACTGGTTCCACTTTAGACATGTTATTTGAACAGCCCTGAAATCAGACTTAAGGATGCTTCTAAGGATACTGTCATCCATTTAGAGACTTCTGTCTGAAGTCCATAGGAATTTCCTTTAAGAATTAGTGCTAGATGTAAAAACTGGTGAAATCCAAATAAAGTCTGTATTTGAATTGATCGTATTGAACTATGTCAAATTCCTGGTTTTTATCACTGTGCATGGTTATGTAAGATATTTTCACTGGGGGAAGCTGGGCGAAGATAACACAGGAACTCTCTGTACTATTTTTGCAACTTCTTGTGAGTCTTAAACTATTTCAAAAAAAGAAATAAATCATTTTTTAAAAAGTACTAGAAAGAGCATCGCTTTCCCTAAAAAATCTGGTATGCAACGTCTCTGATGGTGACAGTTCTGCTGCAGAATAAATCTCCCGTTTTACTTTGGCTACCAGAAAGCTCAGAGTCAAATTTAAAATTTATTCTAGAAATACCAAGGCCCTTATGGCCTATGTGTTTATGGTCTTTTTTCAAAGGTTGACTTTCTACACTTACTTAGATTTCCCTTCTCCTGACTTTTCATCCTTATTTTTCTTTCACCATGATTTTATTGTACACATTTCTTGTGAGTGACTTCAAATCCTTTATGGGAAGAAATAATGTATAAATACATAGACTAGTAAAAATAATTGGCACAGCTAGTTTATGGGATGGTCAACTTTTTAAAAAAAATTATCTAGGAATTCTGTTTTACTGTTATCTTAAAGCACTTACCTAGTATCAGCTCCCCCTCCCCCATAGGATTTTGCACTGAGAGTCTTGTGCAGGTTTCCGAAGCATTGAGAGTTTCAGCCTTGGTTAGGACTCTGCCAGGCAGAGGGACACTCCGCTAATGAGCAGCACAGGCTGATGCCATGTCAGATGGCCTTTCCGTTGTCACCCTGCCTGCAGTTCCACCATCACAGATGTGGATGTGTTGGAAGTCTGGGATCCTCCAGACAACCCCTATTCAGATGCAAATACTCCTCTGAGGATGGACACAGTTTTGACAGCTACAACCTAGAAAGAAGTGCTTTGGAAACGCATTTTAGGAAAGTGACTTTGTGGACAATTATGAGCCACATGCTGCTCGATGTATTGGGCTGTTGTTATAATTCCTTCCACTGTGGGTTTAACTCTCAACAGACCCAATGCAAAGCAAACACAAAGCATCCTCTGCACCTTGAGAGGAGGAGGGAGCCAGACAGCCTCCCAGTGGAGGTAACGCCACACACTCTGTCCGTCCATCCAGGAGCCAGCAGAGTGGAAAAGGTGTGATAGCTCTGAAGGTGTGATACCCAGCTCTGCCACTTACTGGTAACGTGGCCTTGGATGTGCCTTGCTTCCTTTCTGAGGCTGAGTTTCCTCACCTGTAAAATGAGGGTAAGATGGCCCACCCACAGAGTTTTATGGGGTGAACACGCAGTAATGTATGCAAAGGGCCTAGCATGGCATCTGGCAGGTTCTTGGCATTCCCAAGTGTTCAATCCTTGCCCCTTATTCAATAATAATAATATAATAATAATAATAATAAACATTTATTAGGTGCCACATGCTGTGCTAAGTTGTAGGAATACGAAAAATAAAGAAAATAGCATGCCTGCCCTTAAGCAGGTGATAATTAGTGTTCACAGGACTCTTACCAGCCTATGTAAGGCTCACACAGCCCTGTGAGATGGGTAGTATTGCCATTCATCCCCATTTTACAGATTAGGACAGTCACCTGCTCAGAATGGGGGTGACACCTCTCAACTGCTACGAGAGGTGTGGATGAAACACTGTCAAGAGCTCTTAGGCTCTGAGGACTGGGAGGTAGCAGACAGCACTCCTGTTGGGTGTCCTGGGCTTTCTGTCTGGAAATTGTCAGAAAACACAGTGAGAGCTGTTGAGTTGGGAGGAGCAGCCGCAGCCCAGGTCTGGGGAGTGAGTGAGAGAGGGCAGGATGCTTCCTGCGGCCTTCTCTTCCTCAGGGCTCCCTGGTTCTCTTCCCTGCAGGTGTCTGCAGCAGCATCCTGGGGACAGCCTGCCCACAGCCAGCGTCATCCTCTGCTTCCATGATGAGGCCTGGTCCACGCTCCTGAGAACCGTGCACAGCATTCTCGACACAGCCCCCAGGGCCTTCCTGAAGGAGGTCATCCTGGTGGACGACTTCAGCCAGCAAGGTGGCTGTGGGCTTCTTCCAGCCTCCCTTGGGTGGGCCTGGGCCCTGTGGGGGGTCCCAGGCAAACACTGGGGTTTGGAACCTGTTTAGACAAGGTTCCCAGAAGCAGACCTCCGATGGGAATTCAGGTGCAGGTAACTTATTGGTGAAGAGCCCCCGGGGGCAACCAGTGAGGAAGTGGGGGCAGAGGACAGAGAAGGCAGAGCAGCTGGCACAGCGAAAGTCCCGGCCGGACCCCATGGGGTTTCCCCCAGGCCCCAACCTCCACAGTCCGATAAGCTTCTCCCCAAGATGCTCAAGACAAGGGGGTGGCCATTCTGAGTGCTTCCTGCCTCCTAGACACTGGGTGGAGCACATGTCACATATTAGTCATTAAATCATTTGAATGTGCATCAGACTCACCTGGCAGGCTTGTGAAAACGCTGACTGCTGGGCCCACCCCCAGAGTTTCGGGATCTGGGAGTGGGCCCAGGAATCTGCATTTATAACAAGCTCCCAGGTGATGCTGATGCTCCTGGTCTGTGGACCACACTTTGAGAGCCACTGCTCTAGTCTTTGGCTGGGGCCAGGGTCTGTATTTCTGGCTCAACTAAATGGCCTGCAGAGGCCCCCCCTGGCCTTGTGGGAAGATCAGACCGCACAGAGGGGAGCTGAGTGTTCACTCAGGTCTGCAAAACCCCTTTCTAAGGCGAATGAGAGAGGATGGGATAGAGGCCAGGTGCCTCTGTCAGTTCTTCCTGAGGGCCTCATGTCAGGAATTTGCCCCACCTGGCCCTGGCACTGAGTCAGACTAGCAGGAGGCCCCAGGGGTGTGTGGGGTTACTGAGACCCGTCTGGCTGCATATTAGGCAGGATGAATAAGCAGGTCCTGGGCTGGGCTGGGTTGGCCAGAGACTCCCCAAGCCCTCGGCTGGGGCAGAGTCCTCCCAAGAGCACACTTATGGCCCCTCCCCCATCAGCTGATGGACTGTGCTGTCAGTGTCCCTCAGGAGACTTCCCTTCTCCTTGTGTGTGTAGAAGCAGAGGAGCTGGGTGCCAGGGATGTGGGCTGCCTCCCATGTCCTCAGCTCTTTCTGCATTCCCTTTAGCCATACTTGGAGGGTGGCTTTTGGCCTCATAATCACAATGAGGCTGCTCTACCTCTGGACATCACATCCACATTCCAGGAAGGAAAAGGATGGAAAGCAGATAGGCAGAGGCTAGCCAAGTGTGTCTTTTTAGAAAAAATCAGTGAAACAGTAGTTTTTCCAGAATCTTCTCATCCATTATATTTCTACCAGAATTGGATCAAAAGCCTACCATTAGCAGCAAGGGAGTCTTGGCAGGTGAGTGCTTTTAGCTGCCTGAACAAAATCAAGTGTCTGCTAGTAAGGTGGAAGGGGAGAATCAATGTTGGGGAAAATGACTAGCAATGCTCCACGCGGTGGCATCACTGATGGGCTGGTTCTCAGACATTCAAGTTCAGAAATTTGAACAGCTTCACTAACAGAGGCCCTTCTCTAGAGAATGGACTTGGAGCTCCAAGCTTATCAGAAAAATAATTCCAAAGTAATAGACCAGTACAACATTTTACCACTGAGAAATGCAACAACCCAGCGATTGGGAATCCTTATATCCACCGCTCAGGACAGTTTCTCCTGAAGAGGAATCTCCCTGGGGAGCCACATGCCACTAAGAGGGCAGCTTCCCAGGGAGTCTGTGGGCCTTTGGGTGAGGCTGCCAGAGCCTTCCCTGCCTTTCTGGAGACCCAGCTACCACTGCAGCCAGGCTAGGTGTAGCCCAGCCAAGACCGCCTCCAGGCTGGAGAATGGGGGTATCTCGCTCTCTGGCTCAGTTCTCTTCAACACACATGTATCGAGTGCCTACTGTGGGCCAGCCCTGTGCTTGGGGTTGGAACAGCAGAAATGTACGAGGGAAGTTCCCTGCCCTTGAATCTTACTCCAGTGGCTGGGGCCTCCCCATTTCCAAGACTTCACGAGGACACTGCTTCTCTGCCAACACATTATTCCTTCCATCTCCACTGGCTTGTTCTTGCAGGTGTGTGTGCTTATGCGCACACCTGTGCACACACACACACACACACACACACACACACACAGTTACCTTAAACACAAAACTTGAGAAGCTTCCCTTGTTCTTTACTGCCTTCTCCTTAAGGCTCTTTCTCTCCCTTGCCCTATAGAACCACTGTTCCTCAAAGAGTGTCTAGATGCCTGGTCTCAGTTTTCCCCTTGCAGTTTCTCTCTAATCCACTGCATTGCCCACTCAGCCCCCCCACTGCCATGAGACATCTTTGGCCGGCACCACTGATCTACCAGTTGCTGAATTTGACGAGCCCTTCTGTCTTTGACTCCCTTGACCACAGTCTCAGGTTGAGTTCCCTAGAGTTGGAGCCTGAGATGGGGATTCACGTGCATGTGATTTTGGGGGGCTGTACTCTCAGGGGAACCCTGTAGAGGAGTGGGTGAAGCAGGAGAGGCAGAGGAGGCGGTTGAGCCTCGATGCGGTTTCAGATGAAGTCCAGCCACGGCCTGATCTCGTTGGGAGCTCTGCACGTTGTAAACTGCCCCTCAGGGTGTGTCCTGCCCTGAGGCAAGGGGGCTGGCTTTTGTACCCCTGCAGGTGGGTCATGGACTCTGGGCACGTGGGGCCAGGGATGGCGTCCTGCACGACTCCCTGGTACTTTCAAGAGAGGCAGTTCCAGTACCAAGGGCACATCTCCAGGGAAGGATGTAACGAGTCAGCAGCTAACCCACAGCAGCCGGGGCGAGCCAAACCAAACTGAAGCAGTAAAGGGACCCAGGGCACCTGTGTAGGGCGCCAACAGGGCCTCGCGGCTGCATTTAGGAAAGGTCAGCACATCTTCTCCTGTCCTGGTTTTATGACACCATCCCTCCTGGTTTTTGACAGAGAGAACCCTGACCCAAATTAATGAAGCAACTTCCATCTTAGCAACAAAGACACTGTAACAATGTATGTGATTCTCCGGACCCTTGTGCTCACACAGCTCCCAAGAGAGAATTGCCGACAATGATCCTAGAGATGGCCTTCACAGTCTCACTGACTGTGGCATCTGTGACCCCACTGACCACAACCCTGTTGATTCCAGGACAACTCAAGTCCGCTCTCAGCGAATACGTGGCCAGGCTGGAGGGGGTGAAGCTGCTGAGGAGCAAGAAGAGGCTGGGCGCCATCAGGGCCCGGATGCTGGGAGCCACCAGGGCCACCGGGGACGTGCTGGTCTTCATGGATTCCCACTGCGAGTGCCACCCGGGCTGGCTGGAGCCCCTCCTCAGCAGAATAGCTGGTGACAGGTAACTCAGCCCCGGGGTCTGCAGAGCAAGAGGTGGGAGTGGCAGAAATAGTCTACTCCCTCAGCCACTCATGGAACATCTGCCCACCATCGCAAGAGTGCCTGAGTCTCCATCATTAGAGAGTGATCTCTTCCTTTTGGCTTTTCAGATGTATGAGTCTTTTAAGAAGTATAGAGAGGTAGGGTCTTCCAGCCCATCTACCTTGTTTCACAGATACAGGAACTGAGGCCTGGAGAACAGCTTCTATTAAGTTGCAAATACCCATGGGAAGGGCAACACCTTATCATGGTTGTCACTACCTTTGATGAAAAATCAGCAATTTTAATCAAGATTGTAGCATAACCTGGGGAAAATCTCTAAACTTTGTTAGGCCATAGGTTACTCCCCCGTATAAAGAAAGCCTCAGCCTCTGATTGCTAAAGTTCCTTCGAGAGCTAGCATTCTTTGCTTTTCCGGTTTATACGAGGGGTCTCTAACTTTCTAACCAAGCCAGCCCTCGGGAATGTGAAGCTGGAGAGGGTTGCATTGCGCACCCCACAGTCAAGCATTTAAAATCTTTCTTTGACCAGTTCTCCGTTCTCCCTTTCCTGTCTTGCTGTCACTCTGTCCCCTACTTCCTTGATCCACTCAAACAGTTCCTAGCATGTCTTGTCAACCGTTTCCTTCAATCTGACTATCCCACTCAGGAAAACCAAAGCCTGATGGCCAGCCCGCCTTGGACCCCCTCAGGCATTCCCCTGGGGCTCGTGGAGGCCTGTCCCACAGTGGGAGCTCAATAAATGATGGTTTTGATGATGTCCAGCCAGATAGGGCTGGTGCTGGAACCAAGCCTATGACTTCTGTTCTTGCGCTCCTTCCTGTGGTAGATGTTGACTGTCTCGTCTGAAGTTGTGGATGACCACCTATAAGAAAAACATTTTGAGGGGCTGACTCCGTGGTGTAGTGTTTGGGTCTGCCACGCTCCCCACTTTGGCAGCCAGGGTTGATGTGTTCAGATCTGGGGCGTGGACCTACACCACTTGTCAAGCCGTGCTTTGGAGGGGACCCACATACAAAATAGAGGAAGATTGGCGACAGATGTTAGCTCAGAGCCAATCTTCCTCACTAAAAAAAAAGAAAGAAAGAAAAGATTTCTGGACCAGGGAGTAGAGGAGTTAGCATTCCACCAGATGGTGGAGATTTCAAGCAACACAAGGTAAATCATTACTAGTCCTGTGATTCCTTTTTAGTAAAGAAGAATGATCAGAGCTCAAGTGAAATCAAGAAGGATTAATTTTACCCAATTCCAAGACACAGATTACAGCCCTCTCATGGTTCACATCTCATGAGAAAAGGAGACGTGTGTGAATTCAGCACCAGAAGTAGGACAAGAAAATGCACAAACCCTACAAGGCTGCCATCTTGGATTCTGTTCTCAAAATCACAATGACTGTGTATCACCAGAGCAGGACCTAAAATTGGTCCTGCCCGTTCCCTGTCCAATTCCCATCCTGTGTATCACGGATGGATGGCTCTCAGAGAGACCTTTAGGATCATCTAGTCCTATCTCATGACTTCACTGTTGAAAAAACCTGAGTTCCAGGAAGGGCAAGGAGACCCCCCCAGGGTCACACAGCCACTTCACAGCTGGGCTCTTCTCTATGCTTCTTTTATGCAGACATTTAGGAATTCAGTAATTAACAATATTAAGCCTTAAGTACGTGTGACCCTAGCAGACTTTTTTCATACAGTGTCTTCAATGACCCCCCTGTGAGATACCGCAGGCAGATTTTTGCTTCCCTTTCACAGAAGAGAGGATTGGGACTCAGAGAAGTAAAATGGTGTGCAAGAGCACGCAGAGATTTTGTAGCTGAGTCGGGTGTTCTGACGCCGGGTCCACTGCTCTTTTTATTGTATACGAATTTTTTATGAATTGGAGAAGCTGAGCAGGGAGAGACATTTAGTCATCCCCACCCCCACCCTGGTTGTGACATGTGTTAAAACCTTGATTAGATCGAGTCCCTCGTGTCTGCTTCTCACATTGGCGCCACCTTCACAGATCTGGAGATTTCTCACTGTAGGCTGAGAAGGACTTGGCAATGCCTCAGTGTCCTCAGCTAGGAATAAAATGGGGCTCCTGAGAAGCCTTCTGTGGTTAAGAGGGATGAGTCTGTGAAATTCTAATTTCCTGGGTTCTTCCCCTCCCCTCTTTAGTAAGCTTTCTCCCCACACCCTCTCTCCCTCTCATTCTCTCTGTCTCTCACACACACGCGCGCGCACACACACACACACACACGACCTCTGGTCCTAGACCCATGCTGGCTTGGCTTCCTCTTCGTGTCCCCCTCTTCTGTGATCTGACCATCTTTTTGTCATCCCACACCTCACTCACGGCTTCCTGTGCCCCTGGCGCTCTCTGGGCCCCGGTTCAGCTTGCAGTCCTTCAAGAGTGAGGCTCTGAAAGAAGAGCTCCCTCTCCCGGGTCTGAGCTCTCCTCTGTTCCACAGCGAGGCCATGTGAGCTGTGCTGGGAGAGTGGCCCCTTCCGAGGGGTTTTACTCCCCAGTGACTGCTCAGGTCCCTCCTCTCGGCTGCCCCGGCAGCTCCCCTGTGTCAGGCAAAGCTGTAGAAGCCGCTGGGCTGGGCTCCTAACAGCTGCTGCTCTTTGAGAGAGGAAAGGGGCCCCAGCTGCTTCTGAGGCTTGTGGCAAGAGACACTGTGTCACCAGGAGAGGACCCATTGCCCCCAAAGCAGAGAAAGGTCTTTAAGAGCTTTCATTAAAAAGGTGCCGTGGGACGGTGAGTAAACAGTGTAAAAGACATGTCAACTATTCAGAGAGTTATAATTTTCTCAACACCCTGGTCAGAGCACTCAGGGCCTGATTACTAGCCCTGGTTCCCTGCCCCTGCCCACAGAAAGGGTCTGCTGAGAGCCACATGGCAACTTGGTATGAATCAATAAAAGGAGTCCCTTCCTCGTGACCCTTTACTCCCATTCCTCAGACAATTTGTCATAATACACTCATTTTGTTAGAGCAAGACACTTTAATGCTAACTGCCAGAGGATTTAGAAATAAATATGCAGATTTACGGTGTCTGTGATATTTGAGGCATTCTTTAGGATTGGGCAGTGCACAATCCACATAACTGTACATAGCAGCCCCAGACAGAGTGTTTGTAAGAGCAATTGTTTTTAGGGCAGTCCTAGGAGGTAGTGATTGGTGGCTGGCTTCTACATAAAATAACAAAGATGAAAATCAAGAGTAGCTGTCATTCCAGCTGCCAACTGCCTTGTGCTGATTTCCAGCTCTAGTCCCCAAGCCAAGGAATGAGAGTCATGGCTCGAGAAGAATGAAGATTTCCAAGGGAAAGTCGGCAGCCCTTAGTGAAGTGCTGAGACGCAGCGCCGTCTTAGGGGGGATCCTGGCTCAAGAGGCCGCCCACACTGTTTCCCACTTGAAGATTGGTCTGGACCCCCATCTTAGAGACGCGTAGTTCCTAATGTCACCTAGAGCTCAGCCAGGGCTGAGCCTGCTCAATGGGGAGAAGCAAGGCGGGGCGAGGAAGAGACCACCTCCCACCTCTCTGCCCTTCAAGAGGTCAAATGATTGAAGCTGAGTTAGCTTTTGAATATCTGGACGGCAGTTTATTAGTTGACCTCACATATTTCAGTTAACCCGTCTTTGCTGACAGCTCGACTGCCTCTGTTTGTCTTTTGAAACCCAAACGCTTTGACCTCCTGGAGCTAGAAAGACTTGTGAAAGGGTCAACCCTGTGTCTGCCTGAGAGGTAAAACCTAGTTCACGAACAAGAGAATGATGGAGTAAGCAGACACTTGTAGCTCCTTTCAAGCCAAACAGGGCAGCTTGGCTATGTTGCTTTAAGTGATTTCCAAGAACACCAGACACATGTGTAGGTATGAAACCCAAAGCTAAATATAAGAGTGTTTGGGTTTTTTTGATCACTCTTTTTGAGTCACTAGACTGCAGTTACTCCCCAGTTCAGCCCTGGTTAAGTAGCCGCTATGGTCCATGGGAATAAAAACCAAGACAGAAAACCTCTTTCACTTCATTCATTGAGATTTTATTCTTCATCTCTATCCGAAATGTACTCAAAGAGGTTCATGATTAATCACTTATGTGTCTGGTTAAAATAGAAGGAAAAAGAGATTTCAGAAAGGAAAAGATGGTATTGGGAATCAGAGGTAATACAGTTATCACAAGTGAGCTTTATATACGACTCTGAGCTTCCCACAAGACAGAGCAAAAAGTGAAAGTTGATGAATTTTAGAGTTCTCCTCAAGAAGGACACGGCTCGGAGGTCTAGGACAAATTGATTGTGTGGATGCTTGAATGCAATTTCCTTTCTCGTCCCGTTATGATTATTAAGAAGGCACGAATTTGACAAGATTCTTCAGAATTCAGCCACACGGCTTCCCTGGCTCTTAATTCTGAAATTCCACAAAATGCTTTGCCAATAGCCAAACCCATTCCATCTGCTCAGTTCATTGCACAGTAAGTGGAGACTTGGGAGGGGGCTGGTGTCCTCCTTTCTTCCTTGATCTTGCTTCTCAGTTTTCCTAGGTCAATGCAAGGTGTCCAAAAATAGTGGAGACCCAGACAGATTAAGTTTCCCTTCCCTTCCAGAGGGAACAACGTGAAAAGGGAAGGAAAAGCCCATCAAGATCCTTGCTCTAAATATAAACCCCATGACTCCTCATGCCAACATCAGTCACTTAAGGCCACAGATTAAAGCAGATAATTGAATCCCAGGACCACCCTGGCCCTCTCTGTATGGCCTGGGCTTATGCCAGCCCTGGCTGACTCTGAGATGAAAGAAACAGAGATGGAAATCCATAGGAGTGTAAACACAGCCTGGCCGGCATCTCTCCTTCCAGGAACCACGCTTGTCTTAGAGTGATACCTTCCAGCCACCCCCGAGTTGAGGCCTGATCCATTCCATTGCACAGATTTTAGAAGTAACAGTCTTGAGAGGCCAGAAAAGATGGGATTGAGATATTGGCTAGGTGGAGAGCAGCTCCTGGAACACCTGAGCGGTTACCTGCTTAGTTCAAAGGTGAAGTTTCTGACCTGTGCCAATTTCCCACATGACCTTCTCTGAGGTCGTTTCCCAGGCCGTGCAGAAAAAGGGGGATAAAATACAATCCCAACAGCATCAGTAAGTGAGCAAATACACATAGACTCAGGACTTGGGTTTGCTTGTAGACACCATGTGCTAATATTAATTTTAATAATGCATTTTAGTAAGCCCAATATATCCAAAATATTACCATTGTAACATGTAATCAATATAAAAATTACTGAGGTTCTTACATCTTTTTTCATACTAAGTCTTCTGCATCCAGTATGTATTTCACCCTTATGTCACATCTCAAGTTGGACAGACCACATTTTAGGTGCCCGATCGCTACACGTGGCTGCTGACTGCCATATTGGGCAGCACGTGTGTAGAGTGTGTTTCTGTCCCCTAGCAAGCGAATGGTTTGTATTCCCTAGCTGATTCCACCATTCTTTCCAGGAGCCGGGTGGTGTCTCCGGTCATAGACGTGATTGACTGGAAGACTTTCCAGTATTACCCCTCCAAGGACCTGCAGCGCGGGGTGTTGGACTGGAAGCTGGATTTCCGCTGGGAGCCTTTGCCGGAGCGTGAAAGGAAGGCCCTCCAGTCCCCCGTCAGCCCCATCAGGTGAGGCCCCGTCGCACAGCCGGCTTTCCCTTGGCTTCCTCAGGGTGGACTGGGCGGCCAGCCTGCTTGGGATCTAATCCTGCCTCCCTTAGTTTCCTAGCAAGTTCATTAATCTGTGCCTCAGTCTCCTCATCAGTAAATTGGGGATGACAACAGGACTTGCCTTAGAAGGTTGTTGTGGAGATTGAATGAGTTAATGGATGAGAAGCATTTAGAGAGTGCCAGGCGCTCAGCTTCAGGTGTTATTATTGTCGTGTTGTTACGTTAATGGACTCCAGCACAGCTCTTCCAGGTGGCCGCCATGGACGCCCTGTGGGACAGGGACAGAACCTGAGCTGGGATCTTGATCCAGCTCTGTCTAGCCAGGCAACATGGGAATTTCCCTCGCCTCAGGTACTTCCTCAGTAAAAAGGAAGAATTCGGCCAGGTGAATGCTAAGCCACCATAACTCTCCAAATATTTCCAATTTGGGGGGTTCTTTGGTTTGATTTTTGGACATGTTTGATTTTTGGACAATTATTCTATTTAAGTAGATGTTCTAGATATCTTCTGTTGCACAACAAACCGTCCAGACTTAGTAGTGTGAAACTACAATAGTTTGTTAAGCTCACGGACTCTGTGCGTCACGAACTAGGAAGGGAGCACGGGGGGTTGGTCGTCTCTGCTCCCTGGTGTCTGGGGCCGCAGTAGGGCTGTTCTTTACTAGACGGGAATGGCAGGAAATGGCTCAAGAGCTGGGGGCTGGAATACCCTAGAGATCTGTTCACATGTCTGAAGGTTGATACTGGCTGTCAGTAGGGACATCAGCTGGAACGGTGCTGATCTCTCCATGAGGTCACGGCACGTGGCTAGTTGGGGCTCCCTGCACCGTGGCGCTGGGTTCTGAGAGTAAGTATCCCAAGACAGCCAGGTGAAGCAAGCTGTGTCCCCCTCCCTCTTTAAAAAAATAATTTATTGGGGTGAATTTCACATAACATTAAAATTAACCGTTTAAAAATGAACGAGTCCGTAGCATTCAGTTCATTCACAATGTTGTGCAACCTCTGCCTGTATCTGGTTCCAAAACGCTTCCATTACTCCAAAGTAAAATTCCTTCCCGTAAAGCACTGTCTCCCACTCTCCCCTCCCCCAGCCCCGGCAACCCCCAATCTACTGTATGTCTCTATGCATCGATCCGTTTCAGACATTTCATATAAATGGAATCATCCAATATGTGATCATGTGTGTCTGGCTTCTGTCACTTACATAGTGTTCTGGAGGTGTGTTTCCCCTTCTACTGCCAAGCCTCAGAGTCACCTAGGGTCACCTCCACCATAGTCACAGGCCCACCCAGGCTCCTGCGAAGGAGACGTAGACCCCACCTCTCAGTGGGAGCGGTGTCAATGTCACCCTGTAAGAAGAGCCTGTGGGACAAGGGATCTGGTCGTGTCTGCCTTTGGACAGCGACCTTCATCTGCCACAGTCAGTCTCCATCATATACTGCCCACCACCAACCAATTATCCAAGTCGTTTCTGACAGCCTGGTACAGGGACACGGAATGAGGCATTGGGCACAAACAGGCCTTCCGAGGGTCTGCCCAAGGGAGTGTAACTCTGGCAGCAGATGTGTGATAAGCCACAATCTTAGATATGCAAAAAATAATTCTCTTTACTTTGTAATAAGGACTTCGATAATTTCTTTCTTGACCCCTCTTTCTACCTAGTGGCAGAAAACTTCCGGGCAAACTAGTCAGATTCAGTGATTGCTTAGTCATCTCATATTTATCTTTTGAAAAATGTTTATGCTTTTTTTTTTTTCTTGCTGTGGAAGATTGGCCTTGAGCTAACATCTGTTGCCAATCTTCCTCTTTCACCCTCCCCACAAAGCCCCAGTCATAGTTGTGTCTCCTAGTTATAGATCATTTTAGTTCTTCTATGTGGGATGCTACCACAGCATGGCCTGGTGAGTGGTGTGTAGGTTTGCGCCCAGAATCCAAACCAGCGAACCCCAGGCTGCTGAAGCAGAGCACGCGAACTTAACCACTTAGCCACGGGACCGGCCCCTGTCATCTCATATTTAAATCTATCATCCAGGTATGTCCCCCTTTCTGGTCTCCCTGAAGTTGATTTTGAGCCCCAGGCTCCTGTGGGGACAGCGTGTGTGAGAGGGAGTGTCCCGCCCTGGGCTCAGGGTGTCCTGCATCGGTGTGCACCACAATGTCCCTTCACTGGCTGTGGCATCTGGCCAGGGGTTGGCAGCCCTGCCCCCACGAGAATACACCCTCCATGTGGTAACTGCCAAAGTCCCACATCGGGATGCAGGAAGAAAGAGGAGGACAGAGCCTGACCGTTTCCCTTTGTTCAGGCCTGGTGCTGCCTGCCTTAGGATATCTTGTTTTAACCAAGGCCTCTTCCCAAAGGTCTTTCTACAGGGACTCAAGCCAGAGGGTAGGGAACTCTCGGGACCGGCCCCGTGGCCCTCCCTATAGGAGCAGGACCTGAGGAGGGGGTATAAAGGGCCCAGGCAGTGACAGTCTCTTTTGATAAAATACTGGGGTTTTTGACCTGGTTGCTTGGCTGCAGTCCTGCAGTTAAAAGCATCAAATCCACTCTCTCGGCCACTGGAGCTCCCACCTGGTGAGCCTCTCTGATGTGCTCCAGTTCTGACTGGTCTGTTCCGTCTTCTTTCTGCCCAGGAGCCCTGTGCTGCCTGGCGGGGTTGTTGCCATGGACAGACATTACTTCCAAAACACTGGAGCGTATGACCCTCTCATGTCACTGCGGGGTGGTGAAAACCTCGAACTGTCTCTCAAGGTATGTCCTGGACCAAGGGAGGACCCAGGGGGGCTCTCTGGAGTGGTGCGTATGGTCACAGCTCGGAGGCAGCATTAGAAATGCCGCCGATCAGGGATAAGGCTGTGGGCAAATTATAAAGTCACTAAATGTGGAGTGTCAAATCTCCTGTTTCTTCCCCTTTCCCATCTCTCTTGTACCCTACCTTGATTTTACCCTCAGCTTCCCTCGTGAACTCAGTTATCAAAGCTGCCCCTAGGAAAAGACACAGTATCAGTCATCTACACCTTAGCGCAGAGGTGCCGGTGACTTCTCCGTCACCCATAGGCCAAAAGAGATACCAAGCAATTCTGTGTAATGACCAGTCTGGTCCAAACAACTTCATAAGTATTTGTGCTAACAACTTAGCCCCTGTTAGGCACTGCACAAGTTTTCAAATCTTGGTATCAGATTGGACACCACCACCCTTGTTTCCTGTTTTCATTTTCATCTTTATCCCCAAGTGTGGACTGCAAGGCTTCCTGTCAAATGCCTTCCAGGCATCTGGGAGCAGGCGGGAGGGGTGGCGGAGAGCAGGGAATGCTCCTGAAGGAGGAGAGACTCTGCTGAAGGAGAGCTTGGTTTCATCTCCACACACATGGCTCTGGTGCCTTCACAGCAGAAAATTGCACGAGCTTTTAGAAGTTCCCTGACCACCAGGGACACCCTTCTCCCCGAGGAAGCCGCTTTGGGGAATGGGGGTGCTCATCCGCGTGGCCGCATCTCTACAAGTGCTAAGTCTGAGCCTGTGTTTCAAGGCGGGGGGCACGTTCAGGAAGTTGCATGGGGTGGACCACTTACCTAGCCAATTCGGTCCCAGGACAACAGTCCCTCTTCTTGCCACCTCGCCACTCCCCTGCCCAGAACTCCCAGATCTGGAAACTTGCTGCCCCCCGAGGACTGGAATTATCTTTACCATTTGTGCTCATGATTTCCTGAGGGGTCCCTCACTTCCCACGTTCTGGGAGTGGAGCGCACAGGTGTTTGCTTTCTCTTTTGTGGCAGGCTTGGCTCTGCGGTGGCTCCGTTGAAATCCTCCCCTGCTCTCGGGTGGGGCACATCTACCGAAATCAGGATGCCTATGCCCCCCTTGACCTGGAGGCGACCCTGCGGAACAAGGTTCGCATTGCTGAGACCTGGCTAGGTTCATTCAAAGAAACCTTCTACAGGCACAGCCCAGAGGCCTTCTCCTTGAGCAAGGTAGGCAGAGAGCCCAGCAGGGGCTTCTGGACCCACCACAGGGCCACCAGCTGGAGGCTGGGCCTGGGAGTGTCTCTCGCTCCAGCCTGGAGGAGAAAATAGAAGCTTCTGGCTTACCCTTCCCTTGAGTTGCCCCTCTCAAGAGGCTCCCCTACCTGGTGGGGCTGTCCTCGGTCTCTCCAAGCATCTCCAGGGGACGTCACAGCTGGTCTCGGCCTGGAACCCCCTGATGTCTGTGGGTTGACATCCATGGGATGCGATCCTTCATCATGGGGCCAGAGGAGAGATTGGGTGGGGGTTGTGATGAAACAGGTCTCAGAGGGCCCTTTCTTCATGGGCAAAGTGCTCAAGACTGTGAAATTACCTAAGACATGAAACAAATATAAGTATAGAAATAAACATAAAGGATCCAAGACAAGCCAGAGAAAAATAAAAATTTTAAACATTTAATTAAATGGCCACAAAAAGTGCATTTTTGCCTGGTCAGCTTCCACTCAGCTCAGTTCTTACGGAGGGGCACAAACATGCCATTTGACGTGCGACGGGAGTTCGCATCAATGTTTGCTGCCCTGGGACTGGGAGCTCCAAGGTAAGATTTCCAGGACCCACAAAGGTCCTGGGACAGCTTCTACAAGCCCTCACCAGCCACACTGCTGGCTATGGCACCTTCTCTGATCCACAAATGTCCCTCTCTGCTCCTTTGATGACTTTCACAAGGAGAATGGCACCTCCTACTGGTAAATGAGAAGATCTTTTTTTTCTTTTGACCGTTCTCGTTAATTCTTGTTTTGGAAGTGTCCTATTGCTTACTTCGATGTCAGGATTTAATAGCTTCACTGCCTCCCCGGAGGTATTTGAAAGCAGGCATTTACTTTCAATTTAAATAGCTAAAGGTTAATTTTATTCTAACAATTTCTATCCTTCCATCCCCTTTCCCGTCCACCCCTAAAACCCTCAGGTGGATTTTGAGATACAGAAATGCTGGGCACACAAAGGACAAGGCCGGTGTTTCACTGCTGGAGGAGCTGGCATTCTCTTGTTTTCTCCTCTCAGGCGTGGTTGTACAGAAGGGGAAGTTCATTGTCATTTGAGGTCGAACAGGGGCCGGGTAGATTTGCCAGTTTGTCTCATCACCACAAAAGGTGAAGGTGCTGGAACGTGCATGAAGGAATGTTTCTGCTTTGGTAGCAAAGTTCAGACTTGGAGAATGGCTGGGGAGGTCCCAAGTGAACACTAAGAGTGCCAAGAAGTTATCCAAAAGACTTACACGAATTTTATTAGGGGAAAGAGTAAGAGATCTCTCTGGTTTAATGGTGGGTAACTATGCTGAATGGACAAGAAATTCCTGCCTTAGAGAAGTTGTTCTCAAACTTTCTGTGGATAAGACTCACTGGGAGAAATGGTTAAAATGCAGATTCCAGGGTCTCCACCCCAACCTATTGAGTCCTAGTCTCTGGGGTAGGGCCCAGGGATCTGCATTTTAATAAGTTCCTTGGGCATTTCTGAGCCAGGTCCTCAGGGAATCATACTTTGAAGCATGTAGAGAGCATTTCAGTATGACAGACTCAGACTTACTTTTCCTGATATTTCCATCTGAGGATGAACAGAGGGAAAAAGCAGAATGAAACCAAACTCACTTCACTCAGCCTGTTGGGCCAGTATCTAATTGCCAGACTAGAGGCCACCCCATTGGAACTCTGATGTGGACTTCCTGTTCCAGCTCCCTCTCTTTTCCTCTTCCCATCATCCCAGGAAATAATTATCTCTCTCTCTTTTTTTGTTTTTGGTCCTTCCAATCCCTTCTTAGCATCTCTTTCTTCCCTAAAAATATCCAGGATTTACTACTAAACTTGTGGGTAGGGTTCTTTGTATCTTATTAATACAGCTAAATACATAAATTTATACTAAGGTGTTAAGGACCTACCTTGATATCCATTCTATATATTGTATTATAAAGGAGGATCGCAAGGAAAGGGGACAGTGTAGCCCAAAGAAATGATTCATTAATAGAGGATATTGGGCACCTAGAGGGGAAGAAATGTAAGCTTGCCTTGTCCCCACCCTGCACCCCACAATTTACCAGCTTACTTCATCTCAGTTGCCCTCGGGTCAGTTCCTGCCTCCATATGGCCCATCATGGTGGTGCACCACACAGACCTAGGTGCAAAGCCCCACCATTTTGCTGGCTTCCACAGAAAAGTCATCAATGCACAGACATCATGGTCTTTGTAGAGCGAAGATGTAAGGGGTTGTGGGAAGGGAGTGGCATCACCCAGCATGTTACTGGTCCCACAACTCTCTCTAAGGAAGACCCATCCTGTTCTGTCCCTTCCAAACCCTCTTCTCTCAACGTGTGGCCTTCCCTCCCTTCTGTAGCCCTAGGGAACTGTGGTCTTGGCTCCTCCTTCTGTCCCAGTCCTTCCGCTTCTCCCCAACCACCTCTGTCTCCCCCACCAGCACCACGTGAACTCTGGTATTAAGCAGGCTGGCTCCATCTTGCTGCCCGTGCCTTTCTCCTCCCCCAGGCTGAGAGGCCCGACTGCACAGAACGCTTGCAGCTGCAAAGGAGTCTGGGTTGTCGCATGTTCCACTGGTTTCTGGCCAACATCTATCCCGAGCTGTACCCATCTGAATGCAGGCCCAGGTTCTCTGGAAAGGCAAGGCATGCCCCACGGAAGTGGAGGAGGAAGGGGAGGGGGGCAGCTTCCCAAGACAGAAATTGGATGTTCAGATGCTCTTCCATGACCCTGGCCAACCTGTCCTGAGCTCAGTGGGGCTCGAGGCTTCCATGCCCACCCTGAGGGAGGTGACTGGGTTGCCCCATAGCCCATCCTAGGGCACTTCATCACGACAGGTGCAGCCTGCCTCCTTCAGGAGGCCTGTCCCTTAGGATCAGCGGCTTCAGCTTGACCTCACTCATTTTTGTGGCCTGAGCCTGGCACCTTGAGCTACGCTCCTGAGAGGGAAGGAGAGCAAGGGCGCCTGATAGAGGGTGTCTTTACGAGGAGGACGGGATTCACTTCTGTGTGGATGTCCACTTTCAGCTCCACAACACTGGACTGGGCTTCTGTGCAGACTGCCAAGCAGAAGGGGACATCCTGGGCTGTGCCATGATGCTGGCTCCTTGCAGTGACAGCCGGCAGCAACAGGTAGGTGGTCAGAGTTCTCCGGGTAACAGCCCGGGACCTGAGAGAGGTCTTTCCTGGGATGCTCCTTACTTCCCTTTGGGGCATCTCCTTTCAGTGGTCCTATGTCCCTTGACTGCCCATGGTCCCCCTTGCTGACGACCCATCCTAGCTCTGCCTGCCCTGCCCCCGGCTGCAAGCACAGACATGGACCGTCATCAGAGCATATGAGTGTCTGAGCCTGAGGGAAATGGAGAGGCTGTTTAGCCAATGCTTTCATCTGACAGATGAGGAAACTGAGGCTCAGAGAGTAGCTAGCCCAGGAGTTGCAACACAGATGTCTCCAGGGTCCAGGCAGGTAAAGGGAATGAGCATGGTGAGCTGGGTGGAGGCCGTTGTGACTGAGGAGCTCATGCCCCATCTGAAAGGACAGCTGCACCTGCCCAGCCCCAACAAATGGTTTTTGTTTGTATGAGAGTAAATCCAATGTTATAAGATCACCCAAAATTTTAAAAAACACTGGAAATCCAGAGTTTATGGAAAGCTCCCTATTTAAACTAAAAAAACTATAATCAGAAGTCAAAGAAAACCTGTGTGCAGGTAAATTTCCACCATCTGGACCAGCCAGAGATCATCAGCCAACTAGAACCAGAGATGGGAAGTGGGTCCCCTGAGCGGGCACTGTCAATGCAGAAGCACTGAGGGAGTGAGTGGAACGGGAACTGCTCCCCGTGCAGCGGTGCCTCCGACCACCTGATGGGACTCTACTGTCAAGTCTCACGACCTCTGGTGCTGAGTCCTGGCCCAGTAGATGTGTTGCGACTTTCAGGCATTTAAAGGCGATCTATGGGAGCCGAAGTTCCCAGAGGGGGAACTTTAGCGCACCACAGGAGCCTGGGGTGTGTGTGTATGTTTGTGTGTGTGTGTGTGTGTGTGTGTGTGTGTGTGTGTGAAGTGGAGAGGGAGGGCTGAATTTGGAGCAGACAGGCCTCCTGGCTTCAGGGCACCATCTGCTCCTCTTGCCAGAGGAGCTTTATGCACAGAGGGAGTCACTGGCTCCAGGTTTCAGAGCAGTGGCCTCGTTCAGAACATTTCCCATGCACAGAGCAATTTGGTCTGTGAAATTCCTTCCACCGCAAGGAAGGCTTTCATTCCACGGTCAGAAGGAAGGCAGAGGGTACAAATGCCCCTGGAGAGAGGAGGGAATGGCACATAAGCTCTACTGGGATGCCAGGGCTGGCAGGAGCCTCTCCCCAGAGTGGAGGGCTCTGACTTGCTTGGGACCACGAGACAGCACTGAAGACCAAGTCTGTGGATTTCCCTGAGGCCCCACTCTGCAGCATGGCTGGACCCCTCAGTACACAACAGGAATGAGGCTGCCCTGGTGACAACAGAAGCTTATGGCCCAAAGGGCAGCCAAAGAGAGATGTTGAACATGACTTGCAGGCACTCTGCCCACAGGGAGAGGCCCCTCCTTGAGCCAGAGTTCCTGTTCACAGTGTATATGGCCCAACACAGTACAGACTATTCGAAATCAATGCTACGCCTACTAGGGATGGGTCAGTCTAGTGGCTTGTCCATTCCCTGGCCGTAGTTTTTAACCCTTTTAGGTTATATCTTGAGGTTGCTATATGGGGGCAGGATCAGCTCCTGAACCAAAATTTGGTTCCGCTATTGAGATTGATGACCCCACACATGCAACAAGAGAGACTGAAAAGCACTACTGTCCACTTAGTGAGACTTTCTTGGGAAGAGCATGGCATGCTCACAAGCAGGCCTGAACCGGCCCAAGGGAGCAGGAAGGGGCGGTGGCTTTGGTTCCCGTGTGGGTTGGGCTGGGCCGGGTGCTGGCTTCCAAGCTCAGGCTGGGCTTCTCTGGTTTGAACTTCCCACCAACAGTAGAGAAGGGAGTTCCAGGGCTTTCTTATGAGCTCGCCCAGAAGTGGGGCAAGAGGAGGAGGAGAAGCAGTGGGGCTTGAAGCTCAGAGGTCACACATCAGCCACGGACTCAGACTCTTATCACAGCTTACTTGCTTCCTTTAAGAAGTTGATGAACTCTCAGGACCTTTCCCCAAGAAAAACATATCTAAACACCACACACCACACAAAATTTTAACAATTTCCAGGGGTTCATGGATGCCTTGAGGCCCCACGGGGGTCTAAAATTCCTGGTTCATAACCCCCAGAAGCTGAAGGAAAGAGGCAAAGGGTGGAATCCTGCCTCTTCCTGTAGCCTCCAGACTGGTAGACTTAACCCCTTCGAGTGTCCTAGGAGAGAAGTAGAAGGTAGAAGTCAGCAGAACGCTCTAGATGCAGCAGGGACATCCCAGCATCCATGTAGGCCCCTTGGTCATCAGAAAGGTCTCTTTATATCTTAGGGTATATCTTCTCTTCAAAATTTCCATCACGGAATAACTTCCCAAGGTGGTGGGAAGCCTCAGTGATGCTGGCTGAGGGTTGGTGGATCCACTTCTTGTCGCAGCTTGGATGCTGACCTAGAAAGTCTAGCCTGCCCCCGATCTCTCTCCTTTCAGTATGCGACTGGGGCCTTTGCGTTAGGCTGTCATATCCCAAGGGCTTCTGTTAAACATAAACAACAAACTATCAGTTCCTGGAGATGTTGATCAACTGAGTCAGGTGAGGCCCCAAGAACCTGAGGCAAAACCCAGAACATCTCCTGGAAGGTCTTAAGTCCAGCCCTGAGGAGGACCACCGGGGGCTGCACTTGGCCGTGCAAGCCCTGGGATCATGGGGGAAGGCCCCGGGCCTGCAGGACACGTGGGGAAGCAAATGCTCAGGATCCACTTGGCCTCTTTCAGCTTTGCCCTTTACTAGTCTTCCAGAACACACTGACAGGAATTCACATCTGACACAGGGGAGGAGGACATAGATATAAAATGCCAAGTGAGGAAGCTGTGTAATGCGGTGGGAACAACTCCCCACTTTCTAGCCGTGTGATATCAGGCAGGCGTCTGAACCTCTCCGAGTCTTGGTTTCCTCACCCGCAACTGTGGATAATGAATCCCCCTCATGCAAACAGACTGTTAGCTTTTTGGGGTTTTGATTCTTGTTGGGGAGGAGGAATTAGCAAGGACTTCTGTACTCAGCAAAACTGTGAACTAGATAAGCTGAAAGCACCTAGATATGCCATATAAAAAAATAAGAAGAAACACCCTCTTTTGTGCATAAGTAACTGAGTTTAGGGCAAAGAGAATCTCCAGGGGCAAAAAAATCAAGAGGCAACTGAAAATAGAGCCACAGGGCATGGGCCAAGTGACCCACCTGGGGTGAGGGGACAGTTACTGTCAACCTCAGGAATCCAGAGGCATTGGTTTCATGCAGGGTGAGCGATGAGGTCCCACCTTCAGGCCGTGAGAGAGGAGAACTGGGAATGAGGCTCCCGTAAAAAGCTAGCTTTGAGTGTCAAAGAGTAACCTACTTATGAAAAGTTTGACTAGAAAAACCCACCCACCGACACAGGAAGATGACAAGGAAGCTTGTCTGTCTCTACAGGGTCTTTGCGTAGGAGAGAATTACTCTCTCCTGAAAATTTTGAGGCATCTCATGTTGGTTTAGGGTTCAAATTTACATGAACTGTGTGGTCTGGGAGTCCTCAAGCAGGACTGGCTGCCTAATTTGTGGGGCTCAGCGCAAAAAGGAAAATGTGGGGCCTATACTTCGGCAAGTTTGAGAATTTCGAGACAGTAACAGCAGAGCATGAAACCAAATATATTAAAGCAAGAATATTAAGCCCTTCTAAGCAGGAGCCTCCATCCAACTGTACGGGTCACAACCCTGTGTCCCAGCCACAAAATTAACATAAAAATTAGTTCTGGCTCTGCTTGGCAGGAACAAATGGAAAGTGGGCTTCTTACAGTTGAAGGCCTGCAAATGTGTGCACAATCCAGTACCACAAAACACCAGAGGAAGTGACAACCACAAGCGAGAGTCAGTGGACCCAACAGACAGCAGGAAAATCAGTTACAGGGCCAAGAAGAGATCTTCTCCAGAAAGAGATCAACTTGGGCCCCAGAAGTATTCCTTATCTGTGCTTCCATCAGTACACTCACAAAACACACAGCATTCTGCATGGCCTCGCCTATGGGGCAGTAAATAGAGTAATGGAGGAACATGCCAGAATGCATAAATATGAATGCAAAAGCAGATGGAATGTTCAGATGCCAGGGCTAGTCTAGTGTCATATTTGCGGACCTGACTATGAGATACGGTCTTGCTGACCCCATAGAATCTGAAGATTGCCCCTAGACCTCAGCCCTATGGTGAGCTCTCCTTCCCTCATCTCTAGGTTGGGGAGCATCTTCTAGCTATGCTAATAACCCCTGCCTCTGTCCCAGGACCTGAAGCACACTGGCAGGAAGGAGATACGCTTCGGCAGCCCACGGTACCTGTGCTTCGATGTCAGGAGAGAGCAGGTGATTCTTCAGAACTGCACGGGGGAAAGCCCTGCCATCCATCAGCAGCACTGGGACTTCCAGGAGGTGAGTAATCCATTCACAAAGGGCTCGGCAGTGTCACTGGCTGGCACTGTGTCCCAGGCTCTTTCAAGGGGTCGAGTATTACTTTACAGGCCTGTGCCTCTGTGTTGAGCTTAGTGGCATGGCACTAAGGCCTCAGGGGGAGGTAAAGCCAACCTTGCAGCAAAGTTGGGCCGCCAGCATCTTGAAATGTACCAATTTGCCATGTTTCTGTTTTGCTCTGACCTTGATCGTGGCAGAGAGAGGAGGCAGCCTCTTTTTAAAGTTTATTAGCTCAGATCACAAGTAGGACCATGGAGCATGTTACAGAAGCAGTCAACCACCTCGGTGGTGTGGTTTTAGGAGCAATGGAAAAGCCCTTCCCTACTCTATCACCAAAATAGTTGTGGCTATAGATATCATCCTCTTCCTTTGCAAGTTCCTGTGAGCATTTCATCGTTTTAGGAAGACTTTGATTCGTATGACCCCAGAGAGAAGCTCTGGATCTTTTCCAGAGGTTATGTATCAATAAAGAGGAAAAAGGAGGAATGCAGGTGTTTAGGGAGAGTGAGTGGATCCCCCATACAGCATTGGGATAGGAAGGTGACAGTATCAACAGTAAGTGTCCATACATAGCTTTGCACCTCAAATCCTTCCTGAAATGAGTTAGGGTATAAATACGCAAGCAAATAAGTACACACATTTTTAATTTATTTTGCGTGTGTGTGTGTGTTTGTTTTGTTTTGTTTTTGAGGAAGATTAGCCCTGAGCTAACATCTGCCGCCAATCCTCCTCTTTTTGCTGAGGAAGACTGGCCCTGAGCTAACATCCATGCCCATCTTCCTCTGCTTTATATGTGGGACGCCTACCACAGCATGGCTTGCCAAGCGGTGCCATGTCTGCACCCGGGATCTGAACTGGTGAACCCTGGGCTGCCGAAGCAGTACGTGCGAACTTAACCGCTGCACCACTGGGCTGGCCCCCTACACACATTTTTAAAAAATTTCTTTTCTTCAATTTTTGCTTGGGAATAAAGAGGGTAAAATAACTAAGCAGAACTCTGTGCATTAGTACTCTTAAAGCAGGCTGTGAAAGAAGAACATCATATGATGGAAACTTAAGCTGAACTCACAATAAGCAGTTGAGAACAAAGCTCTTGGAGCTTTGATACCAAGTGAACCCAAGACTCAGGGGCCCAAATGCTCAAAGAAGTCTTAGACGTCAAGTTAAGGTCCTTTATGAATGATCATAAAGGATCATTCTAAGCAAGTCCTCTGGATAAGATATGTTTTAGAAACAGCATTGAAAAATAATACGTAAAACGTTAGTGACTAAAATGTACCTGGCATCTTTTAGGCATTAAAAAAATAAGACTTCAAAAAAGTATTATCATTTGGCCATAAAAAGGAATGAGGTACTGTTCATAGCAGCTCTATTCACAACAGCCAAGAGGTGGAAGCAACCCAGGTGTCCAATGATAGATATGAATGAATAAACAAAACGTGGCGTAAACATACAGTGTATTGTGATTCAGCCTTTAAGGAAGGAAATCCTATTTGCTACAACATGAATGAACTTTGAGGACATTACGCAAAGTGAATTAAGCCAGTGACAAAAAGACAAATCCTGTATGATTACACGTAAATGAAGTATCTAATGTAGTCAAATTCATACAAACGGAACGTAGATTGGTGGTTACCATGGGCTGAAGAGAAGAGAGAAAGGGAAATTGTTGTTTAATGGGTACAGAGTTTCAGCTTTGAAAGATGAAAAAGTTCTGGAGATCTGTTTCACAATGTGAATATACTTAACACTACCAACCTTTACACTTAAAAATGGTTAAGATGGTAAGTTTTATGTTTTGTATTTTTACCCTATAAAAACAAGAAAGGAAAAAAAGAAACTAGGTACTATTTTATGCAACAGCATGGATGAACATTGAAAATATTATGCGAAGTGAAAGAAGCCAGTCACAAAAGGCTATATGTTGTCTGATTCCATTTAGATGAAATGCCAAGAATAGACAAATCCATCAAGACAGAAAGGAGGTTGGTGATTCCAAGGGCTGAAAGGAGGGAGGAATGGGCAGTGCCTGCTGGTGGATAGTGGGTTTCTTCTTACCGGGATGAAAATGTCTGGTATTCGACAGTGGTGATGGTTGTGTATACTTTGCGTATATACAAAAAAACCACTGAATCGTATAGTTTAAAAGTGTGAATATTATGGCGTGGGAAATATAAATCTAAACTAACAAATAAATGGACATTATCAGTATTGTTGATTACGGTTGTTTAATAATTGATTTCTTCTTGAAAAGGGGATGGCTACATTCAACATTAAATCTGGTAGATTTTGAACAGGAAGCAGCTGTAGTCTTCCAAACATGACTGACTGGCCTTTGGTGGGTCCTAGAGACTCTGCTCTCTACTACAACCTGGTGGCAATCGTACTAAATTGCTGGCTTAACAGAGGGCAGAAGTTAAATTCAATCCTTTTAGAAGCAGAATTTCAGAGGTACAGCGATAACAGTGACAGTCACCAATACAGCATAAAGACTGAATGTGCTCTATGTACTGGCATCCTCCTTACCAGAGCTCTCTGAGAAATGGCACGATTACACACCACAATAAAGATAATTATTTAATGAACCCAGGGCTCTGAATGATGCCTAAATTTTAGGGCTACCTAAATTATATTTTATATTAACCAAAATACTAGAAAATGCTGCTTACCAGGCCGGTTCACATTACCTCTATTATTCGCTTAGTGATTAGCACAAATCTTAGAAATATCTTTCTTTGCTGAGTGATTGCTGGGGTCTGACTGGTTTTCTTTTTTTCCTTTTCCTCTCTCTTTTCAGAATGGAATGATTGTCCACATTCTTTCTGGGAAATGCATGGAAGCTGTGGTGCAGGGAAACAATAAAGATTTGTACTTGCGCCAGTGTGATGGAAAAGCTAGCCAGCTGTGGCAATTTGACAAAGTCAACACTGTGGACGAACGGTGAAGGACAGTGTCAGAAGGAAAAGAGAAGTTTGGCCATCAGACTTCAACCCCAAGGGAACTAAAAGAACATGTGTATTTCGTGGAGCCGACCCTTTTGTGTTTGTGCTCCTGGTGATAGTAGAGAAGAAGGCTCCGTGGATGAATATAAAAATGTCTCTCCTTCTCACATCTTAATTCATTGGCTGCTGGCTGTTTTAGAAAAAGGAAAAAAAAAATGGGCTCATTGTCTCATTCTCTTCATCACTAGTAGATGATCATTACATAGCACAGAAGATTCTTCATTTCTTTCCGCTGAGCACTTAATAATTGCTTTTATCTCTGACTAAGGAAAGGGGCCTGGACATTCTCTGGCAGCACCTCCGGGATATGTAAATCCAGTCTACCGATTTATTTCCAATGACCTTACCTTGGATTGTCTGTGCAGCCAACCATGAAAATTAAAGTGCAAAGAGGATAAAAAGGCCTGACATCCCAAAAACTTTGGATTAAGCTTATTAGGAAAAATTTCACGTTCATTGGTTGAGCCACAGCTCGGAAGAAGAAAGGGAAGCGTCCGAGAGAAGAGTAGGGTTGGAGGGAAGATGGAAGAGAGCATTAGCCCAATTCTCCAGCTCTCTAGCGTCTGGAAAGAGGCAGCAGACCTGGCATAGGATGTTTTCATATTAATGAGAATTTCCTCAGAACTTTCTACCTCCATTCACTCTGCTCTAGCCCTTCTCTAGCGTGGTGAACCACAACCAGATTCTCATGCAATGTATTTCTCTTTAGTCATTGGTGTTGGAAGCATCACTCAGACTGAGCGTTCACACTAACAAAAATGTATACAGCTCAGAAACTCTCCTGATGCCCTCTTACAGGGTTTGCATCAACTGGATCAGAAATAGCAACCTTCACAAAGAGGCAAAACTCCCTGGAAGGGAAATGCTGGTGTCTGAGCCAAAATTCTTATGAGAAGAACCAGGGTTAGGTGTTAATGTCCATGAGGGTTCACAGGGCCATCTCTGAGCTTGCAGCCTGTCTGAGACACCCAAATGTGCCCACAGGTTGAGCGTTCACAACCATGGAAGAACACACCTCCACTAGAACAGAGCCAACACTAACAAGAGTGGAACGACTCTCCTTGCTGTGACCTGGCCTACCTGGTTCGACCATAAGAGTTGCTGAGTGGGGTTGGTTCTGCTATTAAGAAGACACCATTCATGCCCATTTCTCTTTCAAATAGAATTCATTCTCCACGTGGTCAACTTAGAAACCTCCTCTCAAAGATGCTGATCTCCTTTGGGCTATCTCAGAACACAGTGTGTTTCAAATGAGAAAAACTAAGTAGGAAGTGAGGGTTTCCAGACAATACCTATCATAATTACATATTCCTTCTCCACCTTTTCGTCAATGACCCACTGCATTTCTCCTTCCTCAGACTACCCTCTAGACCTGTGTTAGTAGCCACTAGCCACATATGGCTAAATGTAAATTCATTAAAATTAAAGAAAATTTAAAACTCAGTTCCTCAGTTGTACTGGTCACATTTCAAGCACTCAATAGCCACATGTGTCTAGTGGCTACTGTATTGGAGAGCACAGACATAGAACATTCCATCATTGCAAATGATTCTATTAGATAGTGCTGATCTAGATAGATTCATCATCCCATGGAGAGAAGAGATTTTAGCCACTGTCTTCTTCCATCAGACTTGTCTATATTTGAAACAAATTCCCCTAACATCCTGTGGCTGAGATGGAGCTAAAAATTCTCAGATGGAAACCTTGTAAAAGGCATTAATGGTTGAGAAGGGAAAATTAAACAAGACCTCTATTTTTTTTTAATGAACTTTATTATTGGTATTATGGGTGTTTAAAGTTGCTGCAATAAATTAATATAATTAAATAAAAGGCTGAATTCAATTGTATAAGTTGTGTTTGACAGTAATTAAGAAAAGGACCCAGATGGCTTATTGCTTAATTGGTTGAACAAAGCAAGAATGTAGTGTTTCTTGCTTCCTTAACCATCCCTGTGATTTATTACTTTATTACAGAAATGGCTGTCAACTCGGTCCCTGGCTGGTACTTACAGACCCTTAATTTAAAGAAAACAGATGCCTCTATTTGGTTCTAATTGATATTCAACCTTTTCCTCATAGTGGAACCGCGTTGTTCAAATTTCCTTCTCTATGACCTTCGCTTTGATATTATCCAAAACGACCAATGTAAAAGTAGAGAAACCTGGCAGTTGGAAGATTTGATTCCCAAAAGTTTGATCTTCACTTGTCCACTTGAATTTTATGATAGGAATTCATTGTTTGAGTTTCAAGATTAGGTTCCAGCATCACCCCCACCAAGTTCACCATCACTATTAAGTATCCCCCTGGGGGGATAGAGAGTTTTCAGCCAGCAGTCTGGAGTCCAGCACTCTTATGCTATTTCACAACAGTAAGAGCAGATGTCATCCCTGGAGGGGCCCTGATCTATTTCCTCTTTGGTCTCAATGCCATAGATCCCACTGGCCAACTCAGAATTCCAACTCCCATAGACATCAAAAAGTCCCACAGGTCCACGATGACAGGGCTGTCACTGCACCCGAACTTGACATTATTAGAGGTCATGTTATTGTGCTCATCCTGAGAGGGTTCCATTTTCTACTAGAAAGGCCAGTTTCTACTGGAAAAGCCAGTTGGACACCAAGTGATCTGTGATCAGTCACCAGATCTGGACAATTCTATATATTATGTACACTATTTATGCTTGTTCTGTAAAACCTTTTTTAAAAATGCAACTTATTTGTGACTACTTTTGGCCAAAGCCCAAAGCACCTCCAAGTCCTGCCCTGATTGTTCAAACGCCTTGATTTAGGCATAATTCAAATGATTACATTAAGCACAATAGCCAAGGAAGTGATATTTCCAGGATTCTAGAACCATCTGCTATTTCTGTATTAATAACAGTCCCTCCAATCTCTAATCTCCTTGTAGTTTCAACCCCTTCTTGCACAAAATGTGCTCTTTGGATATGGAAGTGTGTCCTTAGCATTGTTTCAACATTGTGATGATTTTTACTGTGGGAGTTCTTTCCACAGGTCTGGGATGTTTATGTTCTCTCATCACCAAAGGCAATAATACCAATACATAATACCAATACATTAGGCTATCACAACATATAAGCAGCTTGCCTGAATTTATTTGGCTTAAAAGTAGAATCATCATGGGGCCCGCCTGGTGGCGTAGTGGTTAAGTTTGCACACTCTGCTTGGGCGGCCCAGGGTTTGCTGGTTTGGATCCCGGGCGTGGACCTACCATTGAATATCAAGCCATGCTGAGGCAGGTGTTCCACATACAAAATAGAGGAGGATGGGCACAGATATTAGCCCAGGGCCAGTCTTCCTCAGCGAAAAAGAAGAGGATAGGCAGTGGATGTTAGCTCAAGGCTAATCTTCCTCAAAAGAAAAGACAAAGGACTATCATGCTGACTTCACCCCTAGAGTGATAGTTTGCAGCTCAGCCCAAACATATCAGATCATGTTTGAATATTAAAGTTTCCCAACAACTCCCAAACTGTTCGGCAAACTCACAGTCCACTGACATTCCAGAACCCACGATAAATGCTAAAATGCTGCAGTTCTCTCTCTCGGGAAGAGGACAGGGTCAATTCTGCTGCAGCTTGGGCTTATGAAAGCCTTTTACCTTTTCAGTAAAGCACGACCAGAGGGTAGGGAACCCCTTACTGAGAGACCCTCAGGAAGGCACTGCTGATCATTCTCCTTTAGGAAAAGGCTAAGGGTGGCATTGCTTACTGTTTGGTTTAAATAAGATCCAAGAGAGCCTGAGTAGCTGTCTTTAAAGTCGTAACCTGCCCAGATGCACCAGTGCTGACCCTGTTCAGAGGGTGGAGAAGTATCTGTTGTGTGGGAGCTGGGCAGCTATTGGATTAGCTAGCCAGTGCAATTCTTCAGCTCCAGCCATACGACCACAGTGGGAGCTGTCTAGTTCCCACCACACGATTCCACCCCCTGCCTCCTGCTGATCGGCTCTAGGGAGGATGTCTGACCCAAGTTGAGTCAATCAGCACATTCCCCAGTAATTTCGTTACTGAGACTAAGAAAGCAGTCTTTCTACAAGAGACTTAAGAGATGATATGAAAATGTATGAGCTCTCAGCAGCCTTGGTTTCTGTATATGGCCCTATGAAGCAGATAAATCCAGTCTGGAGGGAGAGAATTAAAGAGTAGGGGAGGGACCGGGAGGCAAACATCCAAATAGGAGCAGAGGAAAGAGATGGAACATCTTGATAGTATTCAAGTTGCTGGTTCCAGTTTGTTCCTGAGGTCTTGCTGGATCTCCGTCCTCAGAGTCCATGAGACATCCCCTAATATGTTGTTTAATCCAGTGCTCCTCAGATTTTATTGTGCTCACAAATCACCTGGGGATTGTGTTAAGATGCAGATTCTGATTCGGTGGGTCTGGGGTGGGACCTGAGATTCTGCATTCCCAATGAGCTCCCAGGGGATACTGATGCTGCTGATCTGCAGACACTCTCTGAGCAGCCAATGTTTAAACTATTCCAGTAGTTTTCTATTGTTACTTGGAACCAGGAGAGTCCTCACTGGGCCAGATCTTGGACTATTCTCTTTTGCTTCTCAAAGATCTCTTTCTGAATCCACATGGTAGGATGGTTTGATCCTATATTGTATAGGACATCACCTCTTGTTCAATGTAATACAGCCATTTTTAATTCATTCTCCTCTCTTCCCTCAGCACTCTTCCTCTTTCTCATTCTACTAGTTCTACTCTTTTGACCAGGGGAGTTCTTTACCTTTTTTTATTGTTTTTGCTGTTTGTTCTGTGGTTGTGTTATGCTCTCCTCGCTTTCCTTATCTCACCCTCAGCTTCCCTCTTTTTCTCATCTCTGAGCAAAGCTACTTTTCCAACACCCATGTTCTTGTGGTATCTTTTATCTCATTCTCCTTTTTCCTCTGTCCAGCCCTCTATGCTCCTCCATCACCAAGTCCTACTGGCAAATCTTGATGGAGTGAAGAGAGTCAGTTTCTTCAAAGAATTTCTAGAGCACTGAGTAAATCAATTAATTGCTCAGATTTCCAGCTCTTCTCAGCCTCAGCTCCTCTCCTGGAAGAATCCAAAGTGTGAAAGAGCAGAAAGGCCATTTAATATGGATGTGGGATGAAAGAGCTACTAAAGGTGCTGCTGGTAGTGGTGGGAATATGGCCCTTGTCTTGAGGAGGCCGTTGGGGTTCTGGCAGGTAGGTAGCCCTCTAGAGAGGATCTACATAGATGCAGCTGCAAGGGGCCCTCTGGAGATGGGCCAGGATCAGTGGCCTCTGAAAATAGCCACATCTAAGAGCCAAACATGAGATTAGATGATCAGAAAACAAATCCTGCCAAAGCTCAGAATTTGATTCTCTCAATCCTTAAATTAAATCTCACAGGAAAGTTAAAGTACACTTAACTAAGAAAGAGACGCCACATTCACCCATCAACACCAGAGTCTGTGACATAGTGTTTTGACCCCGCCCACCTTTCTCTGGTCTTATGGCTTCAATGTGCTCCTGAAGAACTTCCAACCATCAGTATTTGCATTTCTTTGCCTGAGGGTTTTTCCCAAAGCCAAAGAAGATGGCCTTATGATGTGGGGCAGGCCAGACATGCCTTGGAAGTCACCCCACAGGACCAGCCCTCAACTGATGACTGACAAGAGTTGGAGTATAAATACCTCAGCTTCCTCACCTCTCTGGGAGGATAACTCCGAGATATACCTGTTCTACAACATTTCCTGGAGTTACCAGCGAGATTCAGCTCTAATCGCCCACAGTGGTAGCTGGCTTGATAATACATCTTTCATTGGCTGCATTCCCATCCATAACTCCCTACGGGTGCTTCCTAAGCTCACCTTCCAGATAAACCACTTGTACTCAAATTCTTATCTCAGTGTCTCCTAATGGGGAAATTCACCCTAAGACACATGGCCTGGCCCATCGTAAGCTTCCATCTATGAGAGGTATTTTGCTCATCAAATTCCACTCTTTGTTTATCAGTAGTCCAGTCCTATGCACCAGATACCCCTACTCCCCTGAGTTGAACTTACTCCACCAAACTGCAAGACCAGAGTGTGGGCTTCTGGGCAGCTGTGTCCTGGGAGAAAGAGACTGAGGAAGGGGCAAGGTGCTCAGTCGTTATCCCAAGCCTATCAATAATATTAGACATTCTTCCTCCCTAGGGAAGAATGAATGAGAGGCAGAGAGAGGCCACAAGTGTGCCTTTAATTAATGTCCCTCTTGTAGAAACCTGAAGCCTAGGGAAGCAAGGTTCCTTCTGCATCACAAAAACATTCCCTCTCATATTCCAGTTATTTTTCAATAACTGGTACATACCAGTGTTAGAGGATGTACAGCTGAACTATGTAAGTCAGGAGTGGAGAGCATGATTGCTCTCCATGAGAAAGTGAGGGGAATTCAGATATGAGGTGGGTATTGAGGAAGAGATGGGCCAAGCAATATGGTGAATACCTAAAGAGCAAGATGATGGGGGAGGTATTCCTATGGGAGCAGAAGGGGTTGCCAGAGGTATTTTCAGAGTTAGGTGTTTAGTCTTCAATATAAAGTTGTCTGCCTTATTTCCATCACCCCAAACTTTTAGCCAAGACTTCTGCACTGACTATTGTGCACTATGTTGGAGGATGGGAATCAAGGAACAGGGCTGAACCCCTGGCCGGGACAGAGAGGGAAAAGAGCAGCCTTTGCAGGTTGGGTAGACACCAGTGAGACTGGGGGCTCAGTGGAAGTGGAAGCAGGGTGACATTGTATAGAGAAGAATTAACACAAATTCTTGCCACACACCACAACAAAGTGCCAATCAAGATAAATTCACTTAGGTAAGATAATATTTTTAATTATATTAGACTAT